TTTTTTTTTAATCAAAATTATGCTGCTTCAATTTTCATGCTTTACTAATTACATTATTTTGCAAGAAAAATAAATTTCAATTTTAAAGATAATTTCTTAATAGATTTCTTAATTAATGATAATAATGAATACATATGAAAGACTCATTTAATCACTTCTGTATAATTAAATTATATATGCACGACATTCGAATAATAATGTAATATTGAGTAATGCTATAAATGTAATTTTGTTAATGACATATACACTAAAAGTGTATTTTGTAAAATTTAAGAGATTATATTAATAGCAATAATATATATTATAAAATACATAAATGTATTTTATCAAAATTTACATTCAATCATATCAATTCGATACATCCTACAACATATTAAATTGATCTTTTATATTATTATCTTTTTCTTACTACATGTAATAAAGAATGTTTTGATCGAAAATAATGATATTATTATAAATATGATATTATAAATTCTATGTTTACAATATATTTAAACAATCTTTACGACAAAAATGCTCAGTTCCGAATAATTATGCCTTCTCCTTCCTCATTTTTTACGATCATTTCAATAACCTGGTAATTCCATACATCCATTTTCCTTATTCCAGAACATTTTCAACATCCATGAGTGTCTTATTTCACGTCCTACATAAAGTGCGTGACATTCTTCGTGATTGGCCTATCGTTTAGCGACATGCGCTTTTTCATTTCACAACGAGCTGCTTGTAATTCTGCAAACATCTGCACAAATTTTGCCCGCGCAGACTGGCCTTCGCGCATCGTCTGCATATGCCGTTCAAAGGCAACATTGTTTTGCCCATGTATCGATTCGACGTCGTTTGATTTGCCGTTCATCTTCTGCAAATCCATAACGATAGACACGCGAGCGGTTAAACGTTCAGCTTCGCGCAACGTGAAACCGTTCTTGCTTTCACGCGTGCGATTCGCCTGCCAGGATTGTTCCGTTCATGCGCTACGAGTATTTCGCGCGCGTGATCGAGCCAGCTGTAATACCGTACATGCAGGCACTTGTTGCAACAAACGTCATGCTTCGGACGATAATCATGAGCCATAAAAATACTTTAGGCTATCGTTTCGCTTTCATGCTGCATCGCTAATGTCACGACACGTTTCTTACATTCCGGATATTCAATTCCTAGTAAATGACAGACAGAGCTACATTCGCAAAAATATTTTCTTTTTTTTCGCGCACTTTACATACAAAGATTTCCAGTCAGGCAGTTGAATATAACTAATGAATATAAATAAGAATTGAATATAAATAAGTGGTAGAGAAATATCACGAGAATAATGATGGAATGATTCGATTCGAGAATTTAGTCTCTGGAGGAAGTCGAGAGAGTTGGCCCTTAGCCATGCACGTATGGGGCATGGTCTTCTTCGCGCGACAGAAATCGCAGCCTCGTAACAGATCTACTCTACGTGAGAGAATTCGCCCGCGTGATCGCTATCAGCGTACTGGAAAAGCAGGTAAGATCATTTTCTATTCCTGGATATTGGCTATGTATTTATAGAATGTTCCGGAGACTCTCTTGGATATTTATAGATCGCGGATTGTGCTGTTTGCTTTTGCCAGTAGCACCGGTAGGCGGATAAGAAAGCTGGTATGGGTCACCGCGGAAGACGCGAACGAGAAAAAGGAGTGCTTCGCATGCTCGCTGCATCTAAAGGAGCAAAACTCTGGGAATGAAATGTTACAGAAGTAGAATTCCCCGGTATGAGCAGCTCTACCCTGCTATAAATAGAATAGCTATAAGTTATTTTTTCTTTTTGAATGATTCTTTTCGATGAACGATCATTATTCAATACTTTCAGAATTGAAATAATTCGATATTCGATTAGAAATTATCAAAAATTCCTTTCTCCGCAAATTATAGCTAATTACAATCGAGTGGAGAATCATCTGATGGGGTATTCGCGTTCTCGTTTGCACGCTATCGCGAAACATTTTCTATTCCTGGACATTCTGGTGTATTTATAGACCAACCGCTGTCGTCTTTCCTTTAACTACTGTATAGTGTTGTGGTATAACGCGCATAGGAAAGCGAGATCTTACGTGAAAGCCGTTAAGGCCGTTTCCACCGAGACGCTTGGAGAGAAACTGAGACCATCTATCCATGAACGCAATGTATAAAGGTCGTAGAAATGTCAACAAACGGGCTTTGACAAGGACATCGTGAATTGTAGGGATCTAAGATCATAGCACTAGATGCATTTTTGCGAATAAGTACAAAGTGCGTAGTATTAGATAAATATTAGAAAAGAACTATTACATTTAAATGGATAATAGCTTTATTAAACATATGTAATTTTTATGAGCTTTATATAATGTAACATATGCGGAGAAAAAGAAGTGTCTTTTATGCGTAAACAACTTTTTTCTTGATCGATTTTATCCTTTCCATATAATTATATAGAAGTTTTTATCGAAGAAAAGAGGAAGAAAATTTTTTTGATATCTATTATCTTTTTCCTGTCTTCTTCGATGGTGAAAATAATTTCGCATGTATTTATATTCGATAATATCGAGAGAAAAATATTTTGAATAATATATTAAATATTAAATATTAAATATATTAAATATTAAATAATATAAAAAATATTTCAATATGAAAAATATTTTATTTATATTAGTAAACTTATATACATACATGTTTCTCCGCGAGTCATTCATAACATCGATAATAATTAATGTCATGCGAACGGCTTCAAACACAATTAACACATCCGTTTTCTGGTTTCTTCGATTGTTATCAACAGGAGCGACAATTGTATGTGTTGCAAAGAGAAGTATGTGTAATGTTTTGATATTTCAAAAAACGGTGTAACTTTTTTTTACACTTTCCTTCTTTGTTCTTTTGTTTATTATTTCAGCGAGCAAGGTAAGTTCGTATTTCGCGATTATTATTCGAGAAATGGCTGTACGTAACGAGCAGTTATTGCCGTATCGTGTCGAACGAATTCTATTTAATCAAGTGATTCTCTTCGTCGCTCTCGGAAATTTTTCAGCAGCCAGTTTTTATATTCAAATATCTCTGGGGACGTTACAAGCACATTACTCTCATATCTACATTATATTTCATAAAAATTTCACGTTACATAACGTTTAATTTGACGTGTAATCTCTGGCACCGAATCGCGTAGAAACGTTCTCAACAAGCATTGATGTCACCGACAAGAACGATTATATAATGATTTAATGACGAACAACTTTTTAATAGTAAAATTTTGAACTATGAAATAATTCCACTAAGCATGAAATAATCCCACAATTAAAATGAAGATAACGTGTTTTGAATCAAAAATTCATTTACGTACATTTCTGAAATCTTACCAAAACAGATTATTGTGATTCTCGGTCACTTTATAGATAAAATACAAGTTTTTTTCATAAAATGTATTAAGAAACATTATATGCACCTGGAAAACACTTAAACCTTACTTTAACGCGATTAATAATTAATTATCATTAATTAAATTATATTTCTTATTGTTATCAACAGGCAATTTTTCACAAGATGTACATATATTATTAGCGAAGATATTTTATTACGGAAATATTTCTAATATATATCATTAAAAATCCTCATTATATTCTTCTAGAAATAAAAAATAATGGAGCAAGATATCACATATGTTTCATTTATGCCTAATCATTCAGAAAAACAGTCTCAATAAATTCTGAAATCACTGTATTCACTAATATACGATACGTTGACAGATGCATACGAGGTTCAAATACGTCCACCTCCATATTATTAAGTCAATTCCATTATCATAAACATTATTGTTATCCATGGCATAGGAAATAACGCGCGTAAATCGTCGTGTAGTAGTGCAATTTTTAGCAGCGATATTCCAAGCACATAACGACCGTATGCGCCGTTACGTTTAAAATCGATGTATCGACGACCTTATTTCTTTAAAACGCGTGCGAGCAAGCATTGACCGAATACCATTTCTGTGCTAGCGGGTTTTACGTGCTTCGCTACTGTGATTTGTGCGAGTCGCGTTTTCTGTACAGTTGAAAAAATTTGGGACGCTTCCGGAGATCAGCTTTTGCTATCTTACGATGCTAATTTATTGACTAGAGTTTCGAAACACGCGACTAATTAATTCGCCTGAGCCTATTGGACAATTCTCACTAACATCTGAACGATGGTATAGCTAATGTGTGACCAGTCTTCCTATCTCTCAGCACGATTACTTGCTAAATTTTTGCTCAAGAATTTGAGCAAAAATTCTTTCCTCTTTCGATGTAATTTAGCTGTAATATATTGAAAGCGCAGCACATTGAGTCGAAAGTTAAAAGTTGCACAACGGTCAGCCGCAATAGCGCAATTTCTTACATAGCGTACTGACAATATAGATGTTCAGAAGCGCAATCCAATTTCATGGACCATTGTGTATCAAAAATACACCGCGAAATTTTAATTCTCCAATACCTTCTGATGTCCTTTGACAAATTCATATCACGAAACTGTTATGTTTTGCAATGATCGCGTAATCGCGACGCCGACAGCCGGTCACATGTTCGAGTTTCAGTTAAAAATACTATCACTACAATTTATGCAACTTGGCGAAAGTAAAAGTAGGTCTCTCTCTTCTTTTCTAAGTAATTATAATTGGCAAAAAATTTGAAAGTAATTTGCAGCAAATAAAGTATCAATATTCTTGAAATTTAACTAAGTTATAAATAGGATACTGCTAGAAAAAGGAGACACAACGTGTCTGCATTTGATGCTGAAGCTCTCGGAAAAATAATTTTTCCCAAAACTCCACTCGTCTATTACCAGTTCTACCTGTCAGCCGCCTGGTAGAACTTGACAGCCCAGGGTCTACGTTTGACGTAGACCGCAAGAAATCGTATCTAAATGTATGCAGCATAATTTATATGCAACGTACTCAGCATATTGAAGCGAGCTAACATTAAAAACGGTAACGAGAAAACAGCGGATTGAAAGAGAGAGAGACTCACTTGATCAGAATCCTCCAGAAGCAGCCAAAGCTGGAGCCGTTCGGCACTTCGCTCGCGTACGATATAGTCATTTCCTGTCTGACCGCGCGCGCGCACCTCTCCTTCCTGAGTCGCTACCCTCTTCTTCCTCCCTCGTTGCCGTTTCTACGGATGACTTGGTCCCTCGCACCGTTGGTGTTTCCGGTGGAGATGCTGCACACTCGCGCACATGCGGCCGAGCCGCCGGTATTATCTCCGATCGATCTGATCAGTTCGAGGATCTCTTCGAAGATATACCGGGAGATCGACACCGGGAATCTATCTGATCGCTCGTTACGGGCTTACCATCAGGAAGCTCTTGTAATACGCGAATGAGCGAAACCAGCTGACAGATCGACTGTCTACTGACTGAGCTCCACTGGACGAGCGGCGAGACCAACGGAGAACGGGGCCCGGCTGTGTGCCACCTCCACCTGGGGACCTCCACCAGGGATGTGAACGTTACTTGCGGTACCCATTTCGCGTCGAACCTGCTTGGAGCAAGTGTTTAAATTAGAGTTGGGTTTAGGTCAGATGACAAAAGGCAAGGAACCAAACGCTCAGACATACTTTTGTGTTTCTGCAAAATTATTTTGGAAATATATTTGTTGATGAGATAATTTCAGAATGGCACACCTATGCAAATCTTGAATTTGCATTAAATTTAAAAAAGTTAAATGTAAAAGTAAAGAATAAATAATTAAGAGTTTTAATTCCTCAAAGTTGCATGTGCAATTCTTTCAAATATTTACCTTTTCAATATTTCAATCTTAGAAATAAATACATAAAATTAAAATTCAATTAAAAGTGTCAAAAAGCTATTAAAAATAAATCAAATAATATATTAAACATGTGAAATTAATATCTTTTCTTTCGCGAGGATTCCGCGATTTGCGAGAAATAAAAATAATAAGAAGAAGATTAACGTCAGATTAAGTATCAATGTGATGAATGATCTTAAATGATATTATAAATAATAAATTAGCGGACAAACGTTGAATGACAATTTCACATCTCTACGTTTATTATATTTCAGAAATATTAACTGAACGGTACGCCATTTCGTAAATTGGATATTAATTTCAAAATTATACCAGATTAACCCTTAGTCACGTAGTTGTCCGGAGTCAACTGAGAATTTATGTAACTCTATCGCAAGCACTTGTGACATGCCGGTTTATGCAGAATTGCTCTTTCAAAATCGATGACATGTCTTTTAAGTGGATTTGTAGCGGGTAAAAGGAGAACAGTCCGCCGCTCTACGACGATATTACACATATATCGTAATAAGTTTCTACATTTCATTACTCTTTCGCGTTAATGCTAATGTATTTCTCATTTTTCTTTGTGTCATCATCATTATAAGTATTCAATTGTATCATTAGGATACCTAATTACAGTATACATAATTTTCACGATACATTTGTAACTCGTAACGCGCATCTGTCTCATAACGCGATACTTTATTCCTTCAAGGATAGACCGGGCTCTTTTACGGTCCTGTGTTCCTGATGCAGGTGTTCCTGATGAATATTACACAGGTCGAGCACTGCAAAACGCCATCTTGCATACGGTTTTCGCACTCTTCTCTCACCTTGCCGTGGCCTAGCCTACGGCGTAATCGCGGCCTTCTGGTACCATCCACCGGTCACCTTTCGCTCGTTCACATATGAATACAAGATGACGTGTACTTTTACCGTCTCCCAGAATTATCAATATAATTTTCATACGTAACAGGAAAACCCCCAAAACAGGAAACTTGAATTCACCGAAGAGCTTTACTCGGAAAAAATGCGAGAGATTCGAGTCATAAAAAATAAATAAAACATCGCCAGATATTATTAAGTGCCGCAAAATAGGTCACTTACGTCATTAATTCCTCGATTTCAATTTTAGCACTTCAAGATTGTTAGCGAGAAGGTTCCGCAAACCTGTCGACTCTAATTACTGCGGAATTTTGAAGAGACTTTACTCAAAAAATCCACTGTGATATTAGTCCTCTTCCTGATTTACATAAATTAACAACCGGAGCATCTCCGCGGTTACCGCGGATGACCCTGCACGAGTCGGAAAAGATTGTGCGGCAAAGAGTTTTGCGGTGACAGAACAAAGGACAAGCTACGTAATAATTTATTATACTCAACGAAACTTTTTACACAGAAAATTAAACGCATTTGCACGACCTCACTGCGTGTACCATCGCTCAAGTTTTAATGTTGATTTTTTTCTGTATGTCGTACACGGCATTCGCTGAAACTTGAAACAGTTTCTTCTCGTATTCGGTCATGTGCATTCGTATGATATTCGTGATGCCATTTTCGCCAATCGTGCAAGGTAGCGACAGGAACATTTCGTGGCGTACATCATGATGACCCTAGAAGAATGATTATGTCTCATGTAAAAAATATTACAATCTCCGATTAATTTATATTTAGTCAAGAATAATTTCTTTTGAAAGATGTCATTCGTTTATATTTTGTTCAAATATGTCCAGATTTATGCAAAATGTGTGAAAGAGATTTTTAATTAATTTTATCGAATTAGATTAAAGCAATTTTTTCATCAATAAATAAAGTATTTTTGGAATGAGAGCAACGTGACATATTAATATATACCTGCACTAGAGTTGAAACTGGTATAATCGCTTGCGTATTGCGTAATATTGCGATTATAATGTCTACTGCGGAAAGTCCAATGGCCGTATTTGAGTATCCTTTTAAACATCGCACCATCGGACCTCTAAAAAAATTAAAAATATTGTCTAAACACTGCTTTAACATAGTATAAAAATATTCTTGAGATTATTGCATCTAAACTCTATAATTTTTTTTTTAATATTGAGAGATTGGAAACAAAAATAGCAATATAGCTCCAGTAAGAATAAAAAAATGATTAAAGACTCACAATTTTACAACTTCTTTCACTATTTCATGCCATCTTTCATCGTCTGTCTCCAGACCGATATTTGGGATAATGTCGCGGAACTGTACTCCTGCGACATTCACTCCGGACCAGAGCGGAACTAGCGTTATATGTTACATTGGGCTTATTGCGTAACGTGTCACTTTTTATTTGCGTCAAATGTCAGATATGCGTCAAATGTCAGATATCGATCAAAATTTACCCATACTGTCCCCGTGTTCACCGATAATTAATCCTTGAACCGAACTTGGCGCTATTCCTAATCGATCAGCAATCAGATAGCGAAATCTTGCGCTGTCCAGATGAGTGCCGCTGCCAATTACCTGATGGACCGGAAGTCCGCTCAGCTTCCAAGTAACCCAGGCCAAGATATCCACTGTGCAAAAAAATCATTTACGTTAGTCCAATTGCAATTTACATAAAAATAAAATACTTTTAAAAATTGATTTTAACCAGGATTACTGATTATGACGAACACCGCATTTGGGCTATAATTTACTAGAGATGGTATTATATTTTTCAATATTTCTGTGTTTCTTTGCACCAAATCAAGTCGACTTTCGCCTTTTATCGGTCGTACACCAGCACAAAGCGCTACGACTTTTGAATTACTTGTCACACAAAAATCTAGAAAAGGAATTCTTATAATATAAACTCTATGATATAATTTTATAGTACAAATAATTAGATATAAATGAAGAAAAATAATTATTGTAATACATTAATTGTAACTAAGTGAATTTATTTTTGTAAAATATAAAATTATTATTAATCAAAACATGTAAAATTAATTATATTACATATGTACAAACAAATTTACAATTTTTTGTAATTAATAAATATGTGATAAATCTATTACCTGTATCGTACTCGATCTTCGGATCTCCTATGAATATAGAACTGTGAACAAAATCCATCCCTTCGCCTTCCAATTTTTTAGGAAAAGCGTCTACCATTGCAATATGTGAAGTAATTCGCTGAATAAAAAGTGATATTGAATAAAAAATGATAGTAAAAGTTTATAAAACATTTCTAAAAAATTGACTTTTAATTTATCCATTCTTCGTTTAAATCATACAATAAGCTATCTACGATATATCATCATTAATGTAAATATAATTAAATAATAGAAGTTATACTTCTTCAAATAAATATTCAATTGTATGAATTTTTAATTCAATACAAAATAAAGAAATAAATGTAATATAAATAGCTAAGGGAGAAAATTCGAATAGGTAGGAAAAGGATTGTAATACTTGAAAGAGGAGCGAATTGGCAATAGCAACGCCAACCATACCAGCACCGACAATAGTGACTTTATGACAACAGTCTCTAACTGGTTCTGAGGTCTTGCATAAGAGCTCTTCTCGTAAGCATGGCGAACTAAAATTCAAATAATTCGCTTTCCTTCAATATTCCGACGAAATGTTACATCATAATATCATTTATAAAGATTTCTTCAAATTATCAATAATTTCAAAACTAATTACATCAGATTTTCTGGAAAAACTTCCTCATTAGAGATTTATGTTAGAAATATAAATTTAATGCAACTAACAATTTTAGCCTATGCAGTAGCATAACGCATATTTATAAAACTTATACTTTTTAAACATGTACTTTTTAAGTGAAAACTTCATTTTGTAAAGAAGAAAAATATAAAAAATGAAAAAAATTGTTTCAAAATATAAATAATATAAATAATTATATTATAACATGAGAAATATTTTAAAAAACAATAATAATTAGTTAAATTCAATATTTTTAAATGAATTAAGTGTAATAAAAAATAATTCATTGCTAAATTAAATTTAAAATAAATCTAATTCCATCTATATTTTATTTAAAATAAAAATCATTAGGTATAACGAAAATATTTACACGAAATTAACTGCTCTCTGTAAATCTGAACCAGCAGTCGCATCTTTCCCGAAAGGTTTCCCTCTATTACTTCCGAAGATTTTTGTCAAAACTGTCGGCGGTAAAGCACGAGTATATTGGCTTCTAATGGAGTCTATTGCCGCTATTGATGTCACCCGGATAAGATTTTTCAAACATATCGATAGTGTTGATTTTGACAATATAGATGATAGAACCATTGCTTCTGTCAGTCACTGATTTTGCAAACGTCGCACGATCGTTTTCACCCGCGCCCGTCACATCGCATAGAATCGTTTTTTTTCGAGAGGAGAGAGTACACTGATAATCGAACGACATAACATCTTTGGCATTCCGCCATCATGTCGATTCGCCAATTGTTAAACGCGTCCATGGTTACTTAAATTTTATATTACAGGCGTTCAAGAAAAAAATACATATGTGATCCATTAAATTGATAAATTATTTAAAAAGCTTATTTAAAAAGCTTATTTTCAATTATTTAAAAATACTTTATTACTTGTATAATATATTAAAAATGGCTCATTATACAATATTTATCATATTAGATTAATAATCAAATTTCACAAGTTGTATATTAATACACACATGTACATATAAACACACAAAACATTCATAATAAAAACATTCCTTATTCTATTAGAGTAAATAGTACAATTTAAATAAAACATACATGAAAATGATCAAAACATGTAATATGTGTGCATGTGTAAAATGTAAAAAATAAAATATTTCTTAAAAATTTGAGAATAATGTATTCTCATATTACAATGTGAAAAATTAATATTATTCAATACGACTTTATAAATTTGAATCATACATAAATAAACTTGTATTGCTTGTCTGCATACGTGTTTGTGTGCGTTTTATTATAATATTACATCAATAACTGTTAATTAAAAAATTATTAATTAAAAAGAATAATTTATCAGATGTATAATAATTTAAAATGTAAATAATATCGTATGTGTATGTGTAATAATGTTAAGACAAAATAATATCAGATTGAAATAAATTATAGTAGAGAGATATCTTTATCACAAATATAAATATAAATTATAATAGTAAGAAATAAATTTAGTAAAAATATTTCATATTTTTACATATATGTCATTATCATATGTACTTTTTCACATATATGTCATTATCATATGTCACTTTTTCACATATATGTCATTATATAACTATTTAATATATATTTCAATATTATTTAATATATATATTCATGTACTATTTATAATACATGAATATACATAGATATTATATAGTTAAAAACATTTATACAAAAGTTCAATAAACTTGTAGACATAATACTGTGTTGAAATATCTGAAGTACACATAAATTGTAAATAGACACACAAAAAGCATAAAAATAAAATGACTTAAATACGTAGATAAAGATAATATATTTGTCTAAAATTTGAGGCCTTGTTGCACTTCGTGCATCATCGCTGCAGATTTATGTAAGAGTGCAAGTTCATCGTCTGTTAACTTCTGCCGAACAATATGCGTGACGCCATCTTCACCCAACGTGCAAGGTAAGGATAAGAATACTTCCTCCTTAATTCCATGATAACCCTAAAATTATTAATTATTATTTTCATAGAACTCAGTTTTATATGTAAAAATAATTAATATTACATTTTAATAAAAGAGAAGAAAAAAATAATAATATATTAAAATAAAAATGCACATAAAACAATAAAAAATTAATATATAATTAATTCATAAATATATTATAATCCATTGTTAAAACTTTCAAAAATATAAAATAATTTACAGTCATTGTTATTAGAACACAAATAAGAAATGTTATAATTGAAAATATTCTAATTAAATATGCTCTATATAATTAATATGCCTAATAAAATATGAAAATAAGTTTTAAGGAGAGATTATTCATTAGTATTACATGTAAATTATTAAATGTAAGTTAATGTAAATTAATTTAGTGGGAATCTACGTTGTCGACTTACAGTAACCATCGTGGATACAGCATGCACTTGATTGGAATTTCTTAATATTGCTGAAGCAAGATGCGATACGCTGAGACCAATAGCCCAAGAAGTATAGCCCTTCAGCTTGATCACTTCATATGCGCTTTCCACTACCTGTTTATGTAGCTCGTTCCAATGTTCTTTGTCTTTATCGGTACCTACGTGCTCGTCGAAATCACGCAAACGCACTCCAGCAACATTAACTCCGGACCACACAGGCACTAATGAATAGAAAAGCAAATATCTCTTATAATATATAGAAATAAATATTTTTATAAGTATACACATTAATTTGACTACTATAATGATATTAAATTTTATGATATTAAATTATTTTAAAATTATTTAAAATAGCTTAGCCGGCAACTTGATTGGTCACAATTTTTTGTTCATTAATTGCGAAAGATTATTAAATATTATAAAAGAGTATTTCACGTACCACTGGTGTCACCATGCTCTCCGATAATCCAACCATGGCAGGATGTAGGAGCGACGTTAAGTCTTTGAGATAATAAAAAGCGAAAGCGGGCAGAATCCAGATTCGTCCCGCTACCAATGACTTTATTTTTTGGCAAGCCGGAAAGTTTCCATGCCACGTATGTTAAAATATCCACAGGGTTGGAGACGATCAAAAGAATCGTGTTCGGGCTATATTTGACTAACTGAGGAATGATGCCTTTGAAGATGTCAGTGTTACGTTGAACCAGATCCAACCTGGTTTCGCCTTCACGCTGACGGGCACCTGCCGTAACAATACAGAGACTCGAATTTTCAGTAGCAGCGTAATCTGTGCTGGCATTGACTTTTGCATTTTTCATAAATGCACTGCCATGTTGCAAATCCAACATCTCCCCTTTTAGCTTGTCTACCATCACATCAATTAATACTACATCACTTGAAACGTGCTGCAACAGTAATAATTCATTGAGTGATTTAATTTTACGTATATTTGATTGCAATTAAAAGTAGAAATAATGTAATACTTTTACATACATTATAGTATTTATTATTCTCAAAAATAAAGATAATAACTTATTAAAACTATTATGTCATATATAATTAATTATTGATTATTAATATTAATTTACGTTTGTCAAGATGCTAAAAGCACAGGCCATTCCAACTTGACCTACACCGACGACTGTGATTTTGTTTCTACCATTTGGCACACTTTCCGTCACCGTAGTTAAAAGTTGATCTTTTAACGTTGCCATTTTCTGTAAAGTCTGGAAAAAAATAATGTAATATGTTGATAAAAATTTGTTATTTTAATTTGCATGTATCATTATTTTAATACATTTTATTACATTTAATATTGTTTATTTATTAATCAAAAGCTGAATTCAAGTTAATATATACGATAAAAAAAATCAATATTAATAAAGACGGCCAATATTAAAAAAGGCTACTGTGAAGGTCAAAAGGTCGTATAATACTGACGATGCGCATGTCCATGAGAAGCGATGATCTCTATTATTTAAGAGAATTTCGTTTTAATAGCTATCGCCTTTCTTCATCTTTCTTCATCCTTACTTCAATTAAAATCGAGCTCAGGTCATCAACCCTGTTAATAATATCGATTCTAACGCGCATCTGTTTCTTTTTTTAGAAGGAATAGTGTCGCGTTGGCAAGTGCCATTTCAAATGATGCGGTTATAAAATGCTTCATGAAATTTCAATTTCTTGCTATTTACTGCACGTGCAATGAATGCAACAAATAATGCATTCGATTGTCAGATGGCAGTAGCAGTATAATCAACGTGCACCTGTTTTTCAAATACCGGTATTTCCTTTTAAATTAGATACAAATATGTAAATTGTAAAGCGAAAAGTACGGATAATGGTCATATAGGAATTTAATTACAATTCATACATATATCTCTTCCTCGCAGATTGATTATAAATTGCCAATAACACTTGACCAGCGAAATATAATCAATAAATGACTCATACCAATATTATATTAAACTCGTTTTACGACGTTAAACATTTTGTATAGAAGAATAGAGAACAATAAATTGTAACACACTGATTACATGCATATGGTGTAACAAATGTGTATAATATGTACTATAGATATATTTTTTATCGCAGATAATAAACGTTGGCTGATAGCGAGCAGTTAATCAAGTGAAGGAAACAAATTTTATGTTAGAAATATTTTAAAATACCAGTAAAGTGAAATGAAATCTAGTAAAATAAATTTATTAAAGTCAATTTTAAATTTATGAATCTTAGAATTATTTCAAAATAATTTTTTTAAATATTATTAGATATTGTAATAGCTACTTCAGACATTGCGATTAATCAAACAAAAATAATTACAAATAATACGAATCTTTACCAACCTTTTATAACAAGTATTCTTCGGCAGCACTATTCTTCAACACTGTCGAACACAGACTGAGCACGTTGCAGCCGGCACGCCGTTATTTCACTGACTGACAATTCAGGGATGTAGGTTCACTAAGGTGACCTTACTCCCACCTTTTATACCTTCTGCGAGCGACAAGCATGATGAAATATGTGAAATTTTGACACTTATTGCAATTGTAAAAATATTAAGATTTAAAAATAATTGTCAAAATGTGTATGCAATTTTTTGCATGAGACTTTAATAAAATGCGACGTGAATTCTGATTCAAGTATTGTAGTAAGCGTGGACGAGAAGGTGCTTCGGAGCACGTAGCACTTTGCGATTTCGAAGAGAGAAACGTGACATTGCGCACGCGTAAAATGACGCATCACGCACGTGACGTGATATTCACCATCGATCCAGTTCGAAATGAATTTCTTCTCTTGAACCTTCCGAAAATCCACCAATCGTAAGGTGCTGTGGGAACGTTAGAGAGTGGGATAAATGTATTTCTGGAACACCCGAGCATAACTTTGCATTTTATAGTGCAAACAACAACGTTAAATCTATCTGATTTCTTTAAATAAAAATATTCAAATTGGTATATATGTCTTCTTTCATAAAAAGCATTATAATATAATCCTTTGAGATATTTTTATAAAAAATTTTCAAGGAAGCTTAATAGAAAGAAAATGTGTAAGAGTTATTTAAAATTAAATTAAATGCCAAAATATTTTTCTTGCAATTTAATCTTAAGATTGTAAGTAATTTTAATTTTTAATGAATTTTTGAATGAACTATTATGAGAATTAATTTAAAAAACATCATAATTATTAAAAAGTAATATACGTTTTGTTAACATATGTAACGTTATTGATATTTAAAACAATTAATGAAATGAGGTTAATAAATTATTAATTAATTATTTATACAAGAGATAAGTAACATACAATTAGATGTTAGATGACACTGACGATGAGCAATGCACGCATTTGTCAGATTGTATGTTCTCGATCATTTTCCTGACATCAGTGAGAATGAGTCATATCACAAAATACCGGTTGTGTGTCTCTGATGCAACTTTCCCCACGTGATTGCAACGCGTTGTTTCATCATTTATAGAATATCCTCATATTTGACCGGCTTTGGCACATCTTTTTTCCTCTTATATCTTATTTACATTCTCTTTTGCTTTTGTTGACAGATATATGTGTTTGCCACCTCGAAATGGCAACAGTTATGTCAAGAAGGAAACGTGAGTAAATTCACGTATGTATTTATCAAATTTTAATACGTGAAATATAATATAATATTAAATCGTGTGCGAATCGAATTTACTGCCAAGCATAATAGATGCATCCATGAATAAATATATTAAAGTATCACTGAACTCTATAACTTATCTAAAGAATTATTTTTATCGCAGCTACGTTAAGAATAAAATAAAAAAGTGTATGACAGAGAATATTAAAAAGTTAGATCATAGTAACAATGTTAATTACTATTATAAAATAGATATCGACAAAGTATATATTAAAAAAAATATTATATTCATATATTATAAAAATATTATAAAATATTATATTCATATATTATTAAATATTATTAAATATTATAAAAATATTATAAAAATATTATATTTAATTAATAATATATATACAGCAATACACACACACACATCTATTTTTATTTACATTTTAAGATACTATCATCTGTCAAATTATCAATAATATTAATTAATATAGTTTCCATTAAATAAATTATTAAAAGATTTTATTTTATCATGTATAGGATTGATTTTTTAGTTTCCATCTGAACTGACAAGTATAGGAATCCTTAAGCAATATTCTTGCATAAAATTTTATCATATTTCCTATAGTAATATTTTCTAAAAGATAAATAAATTTATTTAATTTATTTCAGAAAACATTACTTAAACTTTACTTAAACTTTATATTATGTTATGTTAACTTTATATAATAAATGAATTTAAATTTATATAATATTAATATTGACTCAACAGAACGACATTTAAATATAAATCGAAAGCAAAATTTTAAATCTTTGCTTTTCTTTCAGAAATCATGTTCTTAACCAAGGACCTTTCTTCCTGCATCTAATTATGAATATTTTAACGCGGACACTTCAATATACAATACATGTCGACCATACAAAAACTTGACGTATGTCTCATTTATCTACGGCTACAGCTGAAGGCCAAAACGGCCACAGAAACTCACTCGTATCGTTGAATAATTGCAGCATCTATATGAAGATGACACACATATGTAATTACAAACTTAAAAGCCCGAAGAGTCGACGTCGCGAAATTAGCATAGTCGTATAAATATACATACCAAAAGCAACTGGGCGTACGGCGGCCCTTTTTATCCTCATCTGTGCGTGCACATGTTATGTTTATCACTTCTTCGAAGCAAATAACTTGCTCGTCGTCGGCTACTACTTCGACGTCCGCTGTCTCCGATAAAGAGAAAGAGACCTCTCAGAAAGTTGAACATCAGTGTTGAATGGTGTAAACGTCATTGTGTCGCTACCGTAATACGGCTCCTGCATTTTAACAGATGCGCCAACATTTGCCGTTTATGCATACGACAAATTTAATAGCAATCTAAATATCGTCTTGCTGTTTACGCATGTCTAAGTGTGCATTATTGTTTATCAATAAAGTTGATTTAGTTAAGCTCAATCCTATGTGTCTATCTAATTGCTAATTACGTAATAATGTATACGATAATTTGCTTTTGCTGTCACTTCTTTAGAAGATATCTAGAGATAATTGTATGATCAGCATTATGATATAATAAAAATTCATTTCACATTAATAAATAATTTATCAACAATAATATAATAATAATAAGATTGCATTTAGTAAATTCCATCGCTTTGATTATTTAGATATATCAATATTAGTCATAGATAAACATATATATATAAATTTAATTTTAATCTTGGAGTATCAAAGTTGATTAAAATTACATATTTAATTGATTTTGGACATTTTAATACTATTAATCTTACTTACTTGCAATTTTGGTAATCAAATATTCAAAAGAATTAAATTTTAAGAGATAATATAACAAATTTATAAAAATTTTTTTATATTAAATACATATTTTACTTTTGCAATTGCATCGCTATCACACTTGGAAAGATCATCGTAATTGAATTTCGTAAAGTGGCCATAATTCTCAATTATTATCATTTCCTGTTAGCGCAGTATTATATAATGTTTCTTGCGCATCAGTAATCATTTTGTAAAATATGCGAAAAGAAGTACATTGCAATATTTTATTGCGATTTTCATAAATAATATGCACAAAGTGTTTACGTGATTAGTCAAATAGTCTGCATAAAATCATGCTCAGCAAAGCGAATACGGATCTTTAAAGTTTCGAACAAAGTGAATGAAGAAAGAAAGGTGGAAAAAACAAACTTCCTCATAATAGAGCAATTTAGTAAATTGATGAACGTGATAATTAAGATCGTGTTAGGGCTCAATAACGAGACCTTGATATGGTAATTACAGTGGAATAATTCATGTGTATTCGTTAGCGAGCGTCACCACACGCGTGTTTGTTGTGTGCATCCGACGTGGACCCGCTATATTTGTACGGGCTCGTTGAAATATTTCGGCTCGTTTTTTTTCTCACGACGTGATTGTAAATTATAGCTCATGAGAAAATGCACTCGCAAAAAAAGCCATTCGGAGAGTGTACGTAATTAGCTATAGTGTCTTATGATGAAAAGGATTCGTTAAGTTATCCCAATATCTCACGCAATATCATGTAGCTTGCTTGCAATTTGAAGCAAATTAAAACGTGCGCAATATTACGATGCTGCACGTAATCGTGGTGTAATGTTATCAGAGTCCGATATTTCTGAAAATAATGTAGTCAGCATTTACAGCGCATTCGCCGTTCCACTTGTGATAAAAAAACTACTTATACAAAAAAAACTACTTATACAATAAAAACTTGATTATGAGAAGATACAAGTCCATTTATAAACCGAAGATGTATAATTATTTTTCATATTTAGAAAACATAAAATCATTGAAATAAAATACTGCCGCATTGGTTTTAATTTTATTTGTTAGGAATAATTAAAAATTTTATTATATATTATATATTATATATTTTATTATGTAATTATAGCACCTATACTAGATTTATATAATAATTTATATGATATATATATATATATATATATATATATATATAAATTATTATATATTCATTCTTAAATATAACATGTTAAGTCGATGCACAAAATCCTTAAAATGCATATAATAATAAATAGATATACATGTATATAATAAAATAATTTTATAAATTTAAAAAATATTATTTTTTAATAGAAGCTTACAGAATTTATAAAATAATTCTAATTAAAGAAAAATATTTTTAATTAAAAATTAATTAATAAATTAGCACATAGGAGCCAGTAAGGCGTGATAATTGGAGCGCAAGAAAGAAGAAAAATTTTCCTTCTTCCTTATGCTCCAATTACTGCGCTTTATTGACTCTTACTTGCCAATCTTTTAATTAATCTTTAATTATTATTATTTGAGCCAATTTTTTATTTTAATTTTGAAAAATATTCCTCTCTAATGTTCTCTTATCATTCAAATAATCGAATCGAATTAATGCGCGAGTATGCAATTTATATAACAACTAATATAAGTACAATAAGTATTTCAGGGTTGCTCCGCCGGCGCCTAATGTCCTAGGTCTCCTCTTTCTTTCGATTTGTCAAGGTCCGTTGATTCACACATTAAACTTGTGAAAAGTACATAAAGTTTATTACATGTGACATTTTGCACGGCATTTTCGAATTCTGTAAAACAATATTTTATTTCACGCGAGAATCGCACTTCAAATCGATAAGATAACTTCGAGTAAAAAGGAAAAAGGAAATAAAATCGATAGATAAGATCGCGAATGGTCTTTATTCACTTGAATATAATATTCGGATTTTAAAGAGATTCGAATTTGCTTAGACACGATTCATTATGATATAACGAATTATAGATGTTATATCGCAGAAATGATGCTAAGCCATTGTAATTAGCTCAAGACAAGGAAACATATATGTCTTCAAAGTGTAGAAAAAAATTAAGCAATGACATTCGGTAGGTTATATATAAATATA